CTTTAACTGTACATCTTACATCCATATGTGTAATGTTTGTACCTCCCTAGAGAAAAAAAAAAAAATGGAAGGATTGGTGATTTTAGTGAAAGCCAGAGCTAAGTCGACTGTAGCAACCAGGTTGACCCTGGAAGCCTAGGCGGTGAAAATGCAGCGGATTACAGCATGAAAAACCGTATGAAAAAAGAAAGTAAGAGTGAGATAAGACGTTTCGGTCCATTAAGTCATAATACGTCTTACGTTTCGTTCCACTAACTTTTTTAGTGAGGTGGCATTGGACTGGCAGGGTTGTCGACAGCTCTCTCTTTTAAATGTTACTCAGAATGAAGCAGATACTGGTTCTCTAGGGTGTGTCAGTACCAATTTACCATCAAAACGAATGAAAAGGAATCATTAGAACTGGCTGTTCCGGTAATGGAGTGGAGTCGTTGGACTGTAGCATGAAAGTAGCTTTGCTTGCCGCAGCACAATGCTGCCTGCCAGTAAGCTCTATTTATACGGTTCATTTTTTTCCTGCATTTTTTGTGTTATAAGGCTTATTCGTTGCAGAGTCATAAAACGCATTGTTGCACTTCTTTCACGCGGGGCGCAGCTGGAAGCGGCTGCAGAAGCCGCGATGAAACAAGCTGAGAGCGCCACTAAAACAGCGAAGGCATATATGGTATCAAAGTTTCTAATTGTCTAAAACGGGAACTCGGCGTAATGTGATCCTATTTTGAGTGTTGCGGCATCGTTTCAGTGACTTCTCGATCCGTCCAGATATTTTACTACTCCCTCTTCGGCCGGATATCGTCGATGACATGTTGGTCTAACTCCGCATCAGCTTTAACTCGGATAGTTTTCAGCAGTCTGAAAGAATGAGATATTTGTGGCTCTCCCTCAGCGTCCTCTGTATAATTTTTGGCACTTTCATTTCTCGTTGTTTCAGGGCGGAGAGAGCGAAAGAGAGAAAGAACTTGAGAGACAGGTTGAGGAGCTTGGCAAAGGTGCGCATTTTGCATTGTTTATATTCAGAAATAATGTATATGCAAATCTCTGGCATCTTTTTATCAGTAATATTTGAAGAGCTGAAGTCGGCGCAAGTGGACCGAGATGCAATGAAGGAACAGGCTGATGGGCTGCAGCGAGAATACGATCGTGTCTGTGATTTGCTGAAAGCTGCTGATGTAAGTGTTTGATGACGACGAAGTTTCTTGTAAAAGTTTTTAGGAGTGATAAACATCAAGAGTGTAACCAGTTGGGGAGAATCGACTTCAAAATGAACTTACTGCACCCGATGGCATTTCGAAATTTCCTTTGGCTCTAGTTGGACGTTCAGTTAATTTGAAGCCCTTGCTTGGCCCTGATTTTGGTGTGTGCCTTATCTGCTCTGTCGAAGGATAATGCGGTTTGGTTTTGCTCTGGAAATTTTTAGGTCACAAAAATTTTGAAAAATTTCCTGCTTTTTCTCATCTTTCTGCAAGTTTTTATGCGTTTTTTGCAGCAATGCAATGCGAAAAACGCATATTGACGAGAGGTTGTCTGT